CTGCACAACAGAAGCACACAAACACCCCCTGCCCCTGCATGGCGTGGCACAGGCGCGTCCTCATCCCCTCCTCCGCTTCCCCTTCCACCCGTTCAGAAATCCGTTCCAGGATGGCGCTGACCACCTCCTCAGCCACCCTCGTAGCCGCCGGTCCGTCTTCCGGCTTCACGTGCGTGGAACAGTGTGCGAAATTTGCCGCCGCACCCATGACAGGCGGCTAGCGCAGGGAAGCGCTCCGTCCCGAGCGACTCGAGAGGGATCCCCACCGCTTGCCAGTGGCGTGTCACCTGTATCGCCCGTTGCTTGGCCACCCGAGCCACCATCCTCCAGGGCGCCTCCCTCCACCCCGATCACTTGAAACACAAATTCTTTTCTCTGCTCTCGAAGACAGAGCGTATTTAAATTCTTTTGTCGTCTAGCACGCGCCAGTTCGCACCTGTGTCGAGCCTGTAAAAAAGAAAGAAAACAGACAACCCAAGGGAGGGATGGGAGGACGGCACGCCGCCACCACACAGGGATTTTAAGGAGAGGAGTGTGATGCGCTAGCCGTCGCCCACCCTAGGGAGTCTGCCTCTTCCTATCTCTTTTCGCAGTCTCTCGCCGATTCTCGCTGCAACCTTCATGCCACCTCGCGGCCGTCCCACTCTCGTCGTTCTCTCCCTTGTCACTTCCTCCTCTGTCGCGTCATTCTCTTCTGCCTCGTCCTGCGCCGCCGCCGCCTGCCGTTCCCTTGTTCTCTCGGCTTCTTTCGCCTTTCGGCGCAGCTCCGCCCTCCTTGCTGCATATCCTGGCCCCTCGAGTCTATCGAGCTCCCCTCGCGCAAGGACCACATTTCTGACTCCCACTCCGATCATTTGCCTCCAGGTCATGTTGTTGCTCAGGTCCACTCTCTCTTCGAACACTCGTGCCTCTACGGATGATGCCGGCGCTGGGGTCCCCTTCGGATGCATCGTGACATCTGACAACTGTGTGCTGTGAGAGAGACTTTGTTTAAGGTGGCAGTCCGGGTTCTGTGAAGAGGGTCGCTCGTCGAATGCGAGCCAGTTCGCTCGCGACGCCGACGCCGCCGCCGCCGCCGGAACGACCGCGGCGGCCGGTCGAGCGGCCGCCCCGGCCAGCGGCCGTATCGAGCCTGCCCGTCGCGAAGGTGCGGACCTCACGCGCCCCACCGGCCGCCCGCGCCGCCGCGCCCACGTCGCTCTCTCGAAGCCGAGCGCCACGCCGCTACGACTCCCATCGCGACGACTCCCGTGCTCGCTCCTGGCGCAGGCGATCGACTCCTGACACCCATCGAGCGGATGGGCGCGTTCCCGCCGCGACCCGGTACTCTCGAACGACTTTTGAGGGCAAAAGGTGCCGCCCGAGCCCATTCCCGCCGCCCGCCGCCCGAGATCAGCTGCCACCGGCCAGCGCGCGCGCGGAGACCTGCCGCGAGCGCCTCCGTGGCCCTAGCTGGGGTGATTAGCAAGCGCCTCGGCACTTTAGATTCGCCCCTCGGGCTTTTCCGCGCGCGTGATCAGTCTCGCGTTCTCTCCTTTTTCAGGCGCCTGTTTTCGGCCTCTGAAGAGCAACCGTCGAGGCGTCGATGCTCGCCTCCACGCCCGCGCCAGACCTCCGCGATTGGGGCGCCTTGTCGACGGGATCAATTGTGATTCCGGGCGCATTTTTCTGGCATTTAACTCGCACGTCGGCGACTCTTAGTCGCTTCTCCGTGCTAGGAGGCCTCTGTTTTGTGTCCGTGAGGACTAGATCGAAATTAACATTTCGGCACATTTCAGTTAAATACCAGAAAAATGCGCGTTCACTCACAATTCATGTGTATATGAACGGTGCCGACGGGTTTGGCGAGCATCGAAGCCGTCCAGGCGCAGCAACGCGACGGTTTCGGAGGCCGACGGCTCCGAAAGAGCCTCCCGAGCGAGGCCGGCGCGGTCACGGTACCATGGAGGCCACAGACGTCGCCGGAGCGGCACTCCCGGGGCGCCACTCCCTCACCCGGTCAGGGGGGGCCAACCACAGCCCGCCTCACCGTCCGTGGAGCTTCCGTGGTCCGCCGCTTCGGCTTCGATTTTCGACCCTCCCGAGGCTGCTAGAGCAGCCCCGCGGAGCCTCCCGGATGCACCAGCACACCGTCGTCCAGAACGCCGGCGCACGCGCTGCCCAGTGACTGGGCGGGTCGGCCCCGACTAGGGGCGGGCCCAGCCGCGCGGAGAAGACCATCCCACTCGCGGTTCGTCGCACCG